CTATTGCGCGTTTCCGGCTGAGCCGATGCTCTACAGCAGAATAGTACGACGACTTACTGCTACGGCGACTGTTCTACACGGTTCGATACACTCGATTTTCATTTATTCCTGACTCCGTGCAGATCCAACTCATGTATACAACCATACCTATTATAATGCATACCAATACACATAAATCAAATCCCCAGCAGTGTGGTATAGATATCGTAATATATATATAATATTAAATCTGTGTACACATATTATAATGATATTATATACACGCGCATAATACTGTTGCGGTGATTTGTCTATACTATACTAGACACTGTCTAACCACAGCGTAATATAGTATTTTATAATATAATATAGTTAGGTGTATGAGTATTATTATAAATGTATCGTAGTCTGTCACGGATGTTTTACCATCGAATAATGGCCTCTAATCGTCCTAATATGTTATATATTTGTATTTTTTATAAAACGTAATAACATTACGACGTCATAGATAAGATATTATATAGATGTATATAACCGTTATAATACCATTATGTTGTACATATAATGTTTATATATAAATGAAGGCAGAGCCGAATCAAAAGGGATAAAGGGAGCATCTGAGCCCCATATGTGTAAGATTTTAAAGACCCAAAGATTTGAAATAATGTATAGGTACCATTTAGAGTGAAAAAACTACTAGCAATAAAATTACGATAGTGTAGTTGGCGCGCGAATTCACATAAGCGTTTCTACGAATTTAGTCATATCCGAATTTACAAGTAATAACTACAGTCACAGTGTCCACGCAATAATGATAATATTATTAATAAACGAATATAATATTATTAAAGTATAAATAATAATATTTCCACCGACATCTACGAGCGATTATTATGCGATAAACGCGGTACGTAATACGTATCTCAACCACTTAGTTAACCTCTCAACTAGTTGGCGCACATACAATAATACATTACTATGTACTAATTAAAAAAATGTTCTGAAATATAGGATACCTAACCTAAATCCGGGGTTCAAAATGTCTTAATCCGGCCCTAGTTGAAAGCATGTATATATTATGGTTTTATGGCATATAGTAAACACACTATACGATGTACAATGCTTATTAGTTATGTATTATATTACTGTTAGGAATACATTTTCTTGGACACTTTAATTATTATGTTATGACAACATGTTATAGATTTATAGYACGTTTACCATGGCCAAGTTGAAAAAAATATTTTAGTATTTCGTGTGTGGCGGTGGTCCAGAGTTTAACGAAATCTGGTAATGTTTCCGTTTGCGGAAAAAATGTTTAATATTATGTGTAATTTAAAACGGATAAACCGACACCTACGCGAGATCTTATGGAAATTACGACAATAATTTACAACTTTTTCAATAAAACTAACTGATCGTTAAACAACACCGACYCGCTGTTGTGGTGACGACGACAGTGTGCCGTAATGTATAATCGGTTGTTTCGGAGGGAGTGTCTTGGACGGAAATAGATACAATGCGGACTGTTCGTTAAGACACAGGAAAGCCGCTCCTCTATACTTTAGAGCCGCATTACAAAAACCTTCGACGATAATAATGGAAAAAAAATAAACAATGATGACTGAGCAAAACTAATTATCAGTTTCCGGTAATTGCCTTTATTATTATTTTTTTTTTTAATCGTTTAAGGAGAGGCTTGACTCACGGAATCAATATTTATACTGCAATGATACGTATCATAATTACTATTTCATCGATCTGAAATCTGTTTAATCTCATGGTCTATATATATGACAATCGTCCAAAGTTCTATAACCGTTTGACGCATCTGTAGAATAATAAACAAATATTTTTCTATGCGGTTTTCTAAAATTAATTTATCCCCGATTTCGGCCTCATCAATTTTAAGAAATTATTAGTTTTTAAATTCGGCAGCCACTCTAAATACCCGATGATCTACGATGCAGAGCTGAACGTGTGACAAACAAGTTTTCTATGTTCTCTTTATTTATGTATGTATTAAATGCGTTTATATTTCTTTCTTACATAATTATCATACATACAAATGGTTTGCGGCTGATTTTTTTTTGATTAAATGCCCCCACTAGAGTGGATTACACTACCCGCCATCAAGTCAACGTGGTTTCCATTTCTCAACAAACACATTATCATTAATACTATTATAGATACACCTAAATAATTGACCATCGTTGTTTTTAAAGTTTGTATACACATTGAAGCGTCGCCCTCCTCTTGTCCGCGAAATTTATTTGCAAACAGGGTCGCCCATTTCGCTGTCACGTCAAGATAATGTACCGTGATTTATACATAAAACTTGAACGCGTCATCTGGCTAATTGTTACAAGGGTTGGAGTGAAATCGTCCCCACTGCTCCAATCTCCTCACTTTCTTGTCCCGGTTTACCGGCTCCGAATTCGTCATCGAGACCCGTTTTGTTTGCGCCGAGTTTGTTTTCCGAGACGATTAGTCAATGTTATTATCTCCTATTAAAACCTCCCCGAGCCTCGTTTCCTCAGATCTGTAACCCGCATTAATCTTCCCAGCAAACGTTTTTGTCCCTCGAAAACGTAATTAATCGAACAACATCCGACATTGGACTAACTTTTCAAAACCCAAACTGCTAAGTCTTCTTTTATGATGCTTTTGTACTGAGATTATTTCATTCCAAATCGATATAGTACAACAATAATATAATTTATCATTGTTAAACATGCCAGTCGGATGGTTCTTGTTATCTTTTTATTTCAACGTTGATGTCAGAAAACRAAACACCACACACAATAGTATATAATATGTAATATATATTGTATACTTCTAATCACTAAAACATTTTTATATAAATTAAATACCTACCTGAGCAGTTATAAAATTATTGTCGTCTTGATAATTTGCCATTTTGTCTTTAGATGTTTGTGATTGTGAATGACTCAATTAACATAAATAATTATTTTGATTTTGATACAATTTTATCCACTCCTAACCAAACCTCACCTCTTTCTAATTTTTCACTTTTAGTCATAATCACATTATTGTATTATGTATATAAAAAACAAAACATTATTAGTTGTTTCAATTCTTGATTATTTAAATTCTTGAAACACAACGGTCAAAACATTTAAGTTCAGTGTCATCACTACAACTCAAGTCTATATATAGCATATACAATCATGTAATTCAATATTTTGCTCTCTACCGACAAATCATGAACATTCACTATAAATTTATATGTGTGTATGTTCATGTTTTTTGTGCGTGCGTGTTACCTACCAGTGACGTTTTTGTTCGTTTCCGTTGCGTTTTTATTTGATTTATCGAAAAAGCTTTTTGGTTGTACTGTGTACACCTATAAAACCACCTCTGCAGTACTACCTACACTACGTTTATATATATGTATAGAATACTATACGTACGGGTACGACTGAAGCGCTGCGCTATACGTGGCTCTCCTCGGTCCGCAAACTTTCTTCCCTTATCCACCCACCTACACCCCCACATCCACCGTCCCGACCATTAATCACGTTGTTTCCGCGTCACGACCATTGTTTTCGGTCCGGAGCGTCACGGCGTTTAAACCACGCGCGCTGCCCTGGGCGCGAGGAAAACCCCGGGGACGTGGTGGTGGTGGCTGTCAGCGGCTCTGCTTCGGGCATCAATCATCCCCGGCGATATCCTCCGTAACGGCTCACCCTTACACCTACACGCCTCATGTCGATCCCGTACATTCGTCAATATTGTACACACAACAACCCCCAAAACCACAGCCCCCCTCYTCCACTCGACCCCACCAACCACTGGCAAAGGCACCACAGCTGAGGTCCCTGATATATTTTATCRTTCTACTTTTTACACGCATCATTGAAATTATAAGTATAAGTTCAGACCAATCAAACAATAGGGACCTAATAGGTACTAATAAAATTGTCTAATATTTCGCTTATGATTGTGTGTGTTTGTTCGTCCGAAATTCACTCCTACAACATCATAGCTGACCATAATATTATTGATTATCGCTGTTGGATCTTTAAACAAAAAAAAAACATATTTTTAAGTTAATCTCGTAAAAATAAGTCTCAAAATAAGATATCAGTTTGAACATAGTCTTACCACCCCTGCAGCTATTTATATATTATATAATATACGTTTAATACCTATCTACCATGCAATAGGGTTTCTTCACGTGTATTATATTATCGACGTTTGAAAATGAGAATGTGGTATAGGATAAGGGCTAAGCAACCACGTGACATTGAATTATAGAGGGGAAAGTATCGACCCTAGGCGTGCGCATGCTCGGGATATATACAGAATACCATTGCACACTCCACTTCTCCAAGATGGAGCTAATTTATTTTCTCTAGATGCCTCTTTGTTAATCTTAAACAACAKAACATATAAATAATAAAATAAGAATTTTGTCTTAAAAAATTGGCCTGTAAAAATAGAAATTGTTGTAATTTATTGAATTCTTCTGATATCTTATAAGAATTAATAATTATATAGACAAGTTCAAAATCCTAGAAATGTTTTTCTGTAAAATGGTTGATGCTTATAAATGTTATATTTTAAACGTTTAACTAGCATGACTATGTACGTACAAAAATAAATATAAAATACCACGCTATATCGATGATCTTAGTGGACTCCGGTTCATGAACAAATCGGTGACATCGGTTTWTGAACTATATTATAACAATACAATATTTAATATTATATTCTACCGAGATGGACAATGCATCTGCGAATAAAAAATATGAATACGTTGCAATTCTGCTTACCTATATTATATTTATTGTAGAATCCTTCGCGTTTCGAAGAATATCCAATGTTGTCTGAAAATCGCAATATTATTATATTTTAATAATAATATTGTGTTGAACAGTTTCCAAGAAAATATCATGTTTGTGACTTGACGTTATAACACAATAAGGACCTTACTTTAAGAGTATTACAGTTTAAATTCTATATTATATTATAATGTTGCTTTTTTTCTGTTATAGATTCACAGTCGTAATCAAAGCTATTCTCACGAACTGTTGAGTGGCGACGAAAAAAACCATATTCTTCCGAAGAACCCAATGCGATTTGTCGAATGTCAGTGTGCCGCCAGACGCAGACGATCGGTAAGTACGATAAWTATTAGGGTTCAAAAATGTCATCAAATTTTTTTTTGAAATATTTCATTTTTATGAAAAATAACAAGAAATAATTTTAATTTAAATCTAGAGTGGAAATGTAATTGAAATTTTCTTTACATACCAAGTACCTACATTATACAAATTACATAAAATTCATATAAGTATACTTAAAAATGATTCAAAACACAAGAATTACCTTATCAATTTCTTAATTCGTGTTTATTTAATATTTTATAATGATCTATGAGTTAAAACTTTATATAGWATTCCTATTTGTATTCAAATAAAACAAAGATTGTATATTTATTAAATACTTAATACAATAGTATTATTATAATTTATAATTTACAGCCTATAGGGCTAATATAATATTACATTTGTATATTAATATATTATTATGAATATAATAATATATAAATAGGTATTATATTATATTAGCAATTATCGTTATAATTTATATAAACATCAAAGAAAAACATAATCGTAAACCGATAATCACTAATCAACTTACAATAAAATCAGTGTGACTATTTAGTGATGACTTTGTCAAACATACCAAAAATAAAAATAAAAATAGATATCAAAATATTATATTTTTCAATATTTCATACTCATAACCCTAACGATAATATTAGTCATTAGATTATTAATTATGGTTGATTTCTGTAAACCTACGATCTATTCGATTTCTAAGCGAACTTGTACCGTTGTACCACTCTCGTCGTGTTATTGTTATAATTATGATTATTATTAGGAGGTACACACGTGTGTGAATTTTAATGTTGATTGATATTATGACGTAAATAAGACCGTTCTCGAAAAGCGATCAGGATTTCGTAACTGTTTACGGTACAGTTCTATTTATGGTGACTTATTTATTATTTTCCATCGACCACACCACGACGAGTAAAAATATATCGTTTTTAAAAAAAATTTATTATTTTTATATACATTACCCATCACGCATATACTATACGCACACACATACACACATATGATATATATTTACATTTTATATATTAATAGCGTATTCCGTATTCGCTGTAATGCATATGCAAACAATATTATATATATATACGATTACAAGTATCTTATTCTCCAAACACCCGTTTCCAACCATTCAAATAATAATAATAATGATAATAATTTTAATAGTACTAGATAGTACTTC